TCGTAATGTAAGAAATACTTACCTTAAAGTATTTATTTTTTTGTTGAAAACCATGTAAAATGATTGTTTTATTGAATCGCTGGCTTATTTTAATAGGTCAGGTTTTTTTACATGGATTGTTTTGGATGTTCCTTTGATGGCGAGCCACCCAGGTTAAATCTGAAGAAAGAAGAGGACAAAAGTTAAGATGATTTACAAAAAACTGAAACTTTGGCTTTTTCTATTCAAGAGGAAAAGATTTTGGACACACTGTGGACAGTGAATTTCTGCTACATCGTTGGAGTTGAGATAAGTGATTGAGAATCTGAACGTTTTTGGGCAGATTTGAACTGAACTGTGATCTACTTCTAAAAGAGGATTCTTTAAGGAAATATTAATTTTTGTACAGTGAATGTGGGTTGCATTCCTGAATATAAGAGTTAATTCATTGTATTAGTAACTAAGTGTATACCACCAAAGATTTAATTGAGTACTCAAAACCATTTTAATTTTCATAAAAATTTTATATTGAAATTTGGTGTTTATTTGTTAATTTACAATGTGTTTGTTTATTTTCTATTTTATTTTCTTTAAAACGGCCTACACTGTTACACCAAATACACAAAATAATGATCTTTAAAATAGCATCATATGACCCCTTTAAAATAAAATATTAATCTCTCACACAAAAATATTTTATTTGATTTTAAATGACAAATGCATTTCTATTACATGATACATGGTACATTTTTGTACCCTTTAAGCACACTCACACCATGTTTAATTAAAAAATCTTGTTTATTTTAAACAACCTTTTTAAAGAATAATTGAAAAACATTTTATTTAAAGGTACAAAGTCAATCACAAAAAAACAACAACACTAAAATCAAGCAACAAGGCATTCAATTTGATTAGATATATATTCATAGTGAAGTGTCATTTAAGCACATTGCAACATCTAGACTAGTCCACATTCAGCTAAGTAGCACATATTCAAATATCAAATAAAAGGAACCAATAAAACATTTCATTCATGGGGATGAACACAGAATACACAGTCGTGTATTTTATTCCAGCCTTTAGTTGCTTTTTTCCTGGACAGATGAATGGACAACATGCCTCTTTCATCTTTGGGCATAAACTATAGTTACATCTAGATTTTGTCATCTTAAAGCTGTGAAAATAAGTTATTAACCATTTTATAAAGATTAACTTAAAGTGACAACCATCAGTTTATATTTAAAGTCTGTTTATGAAGTATTTACATAGACTTTCATTGTGGAAGAGCTTAAAGAGAGCACACTGAGCTTAATTGGAGCAGCAACAATTTTTTATAAATTGCATGTAATATTTATTAAAATGACAAGATTTTGCAAAATAAATAATCTAGGTCATGTATTAAGTTCATACATATTTTATTTATGAACAACTATTATTAACAATATCTATGAAATTATTGATGTCGCGCTGAAGCTGTGTGATTTTAATAGTCGTGAACCCTTTAAGCTCACCTTAAAATAATATGAAATCTT